GGGATAAATCCCATTTGTTCATGGTGCATCATCCTTTTCATGTGCTGTTGATTTTGGCTTCCTAGTATTTTGTTTAGAATTTTTGCATCTCTATTCATCAGAGATATTGGCCTGTAGTTTTCTTTTCTTGTAGTGTCCTTATCTGGCTTTGGTGTCAGAATACTATTGGCCTCAAAAAATGAGCTTGAGGATGTTCACTCTCCAGTTTTGAGGAGGATTGGCATTAATTCTTCTTTAAATGTTTGGTAAAATTCACCAGTGAAACCACCTGTTCCTGTGCTTTTCTGGGTTGGGAGGTTTTTCATTACTGATTCAATCTCCTTACTTGTTAGTGGTCTATTCATATTTTCTATTTCTTCTTGATTTAGTCTTGGTAACTTGTATGTTTCTAGGAATTTATGCATTCCTTCTAGGTTGTCCAGTTTGTTGATGTATAATTGCTCATAATATCTGTCATGATCCTTTGCATTTATGTGGAATCATTGGAAATGTCTCCTCTTTCATTTCTGATTTTATTTATTTGAGTCCTCTCTCTTTTTTCTGAGTTAGTATAGCTAAAGGTTCGTCAATTTTGTTTATCTTTTAAGAAAACTAGCTCTAAATTTTGTTTATATTTTCTATTTCATTTATTTCTGCTCTGATCTTTGTTATTTACTTCCTTCTGTTACCTTTGGGCTTAGTTTGTTCTTCTTCTAGGTCCTTGAGGTGTAAAGTTAAATGGTTTACCTGAGATCTTTCTCTTTTTCTTAATGCAGCATCCCATAGATTTTAATATGAAAAATTTCCATTTTCATTTGTTTCAAGGTATTTCTTGATGCCTTTTTATTTCTTCTTTAACTTATTGTTTGTTCAGAAGTGTGTTGTTTAGTTTCCACATACTCGTGAATTTTCCAGCTTTCCTTCTGTTATCGATTTTTTGTTTCATACCACTGTGATCAGAAAAGGTACTTGGTATAATTTCAATTTTCTTAAATTTGCCAAGAGTCTTTTATGACCTTTCATATTATCTATCTAGGAGAATGTTCTATGTGCACTTAACAAGATTATGTATTCTGCTGCTTTTGAATGGAATGTTCTGTATATGTATGTTAGGTTTATTTGACCTAAAGTGTGGTTCAAGCCCAGCATTTCCTTGTTGATTTTCTGTTTGTGGGGCACTAAATTCTCTACTATTATTATATTGTTGTCTATTTCTCCTTTAAGATCTCTTAGTATTTGTTTAATACATTTAGGTGCTTTAATGTTGAGTGCCTATATATTTATGATTGTTATATCTTCTTGATATATTGGCTCTCTTATCATTATATAATGACCATATTTGTCTGTTGTTACTGTTTTTGGCTTAAAGTCTATTTTCTGATATAGCTTTCCTTGCTCTTTTCTGGTTTCCACTTGCATGGTATATCTTTCTCCATTTTTTCACTATGAGTCTATGTGTGTCCAAAAAGCTGAAGTGAATCTCTTTTAGGTAGCTGTAGTTGGGTCTTATTTTTATCCATCCAGCTGCTCTGTGTCTTTTGATTGGAGAATTCAATCCATGATGCCACTTTATTGTTTCCTGACTCTGTGTAGTTCCCTTATCTCTTCTTCTTCTATTTCTGCCTTCGTTTGTAAATTGATAATTACCCATAGTAGTATGTTTTTATGCCTTTTTCTTTATCTTTGGAAATCTTGGTTTTTGTTTTGTGGTTACCATGGACCTTACATAAAACTATATAAATTCTATTTTATGCGGATAACAACTTTGAATGTACTAAAAACTCTTAAAATTTTACTTCCCCATTTTATGTTTACAATGTCACCATGTACATCTTTTTTAAAAAAATGTTTCTTTACTGTTGAAAGTATTACAGATATCCCCCTTTTCCCCTCATTGACTCCCCCCTCCTCACTCCCCAGGCCTTTGCTGCACTATTGTCTGTGTCCATGGGTGATACATAGATGCATATAATTTCTTTGGTTAATCTCTTCTCCCTCAATGCTTCCCTCTGAGATTCCTCAGTCTGTTCCATGCTTCTAGGGCTCTGGATCTATTTTGTTCATCGGTTTATTTTGTTTGTTATATTCCACATATGAGTAAGATCATGCGATATTTGTCTTCCTCTGACTGGCTTATTTCGCTTAGCATAATAATTTCCAGGTCTATCCATGCTATCTCAAAGGGTAACAAATCCTTCTTTTTTATAGCTGCATAGTATTCCATTGTGTAAATGTATGACAGATTTTCAAAAATTTATTTTTATTGTTGAAAGTATTACAGATATCCCCTCCTTTTCCCCCTTTGATCCCCTCCACCCTGCATCCACCCCCCACCAGGCCTTCACCACACTATTGTCTGTGTCCATGGGTTATGCATATATGATTAATCTCTCCCCACTCACTCGCCCACCCCCATGTTCCCATTGAGATTCATCAGTCTGTTCCATGATTCTATGTCTCTGGATCTATTTTGTTTCTCAGACTATTTTGTTTTCCTTTTTGTTCAAAATATTATAGATATCCCTTTTTCTCCTCATTGACCCATTCCACCTTGCCCCACCCCCCTCCCTAGTCCCTAACCACACCAATGCTAAGTCTACTTTGTTTTTTAGATTCCACATATGAGTGAGATCATGTAAAACTGAATCAGGAAGAATCAGAACCAGAATGGGCTAATAACAACTGATTAAATTGAAGCAACAATAAAAAAACTACTAGCAAACAAAAGCCCTGGTCTGGACAGCTTCACAGGGGAGCTTTCTAATTCTTTAAGTTGTAGGGTTAGATAGTTTACTAAAAATTTTTCTTGCGTTTTGAGGTAGGCCTGCAGTGAACTTCCCTTTAGCACTGCTTTCGCTGTGTCTCATAGATTTGGGGTTGTTGTGTGTTCATTTTCATTTGTTTCCAGAAAGTTTTTTCTTTCTTTCTTGATCTTATAGGTAACCCATTCATTGTTTAATAACATGTTATTTAGCCTCCATGTGTTTGAATATTTTTGAGTGTTTTTACTGTAGTTGATTTCTGATTTCATGCCCTTGTAATCTGAGATGCTTAATGTGATTTCAGTCTTCTTGAACTTATAGAGACTTGTTTTGTGTCCTAACATGTGGTCTATCTTTGAGCATGACCCATGTACACTTGAGAGGAATGTGTACCCTTCAGCTTTGGGGTGAAATGTTCTGTAAATATCAATTAAATCCATCTGATCTAGTGTTCCATTTAGAGGCACTGTTTTTGTGTTGACATTTGTCTTGAAGATCTATCCAGTGAAGTCAGTGGGGTGTTAAAGTCCATGACTATGACTGTATTGTTGCTGATCTCTCTCTTAAAGTCCTTAAAGTTATTATTGATAGGTCCTTATTTATTGCCATTTTAATTCTTTATGCCTACGTTTCTCTCTGTATTTCTTTTTATTACAACAGTCCCTTTAACATTTCTTGCAATGCTTCTAATTCTACTTCTAATTACAGCAGTCCTTTAACATTTCCTGCAGTGCTGGTTTGTTGGTGATAAACTCTTTTAGCTTTTTTTTGGTCTGGGAAGCTCTTTATTTCACCCTCTATTTTGAATGATATAGCCTTGCTGGATAGAGTAGTCTTGGTTTCATTTCCTTGGTTATGATTACCTTGAACACTTCATGCCATTCCTTTCTGGCCTGTAGAGTTTCTGATGAGGAGTCAGCTGACAGCCTTATGGGAGCTCCTTTGCAAGTAACAGATTGCTTTTCTCTTGCTACATTTAAGATTCTCTCTTTGTCTTGAATTTTTCGCATTTTAATTATGATGTGTTTGAGTGTGAGCCTCTTTGGGTTCTTCTTGTTTGGGACTCTCTGCCTCTTGAACTTGTGTGTCTTTTTTCTTCACCAGCTTAGGGAAGTTTTCTGCCATTATTTCTTCAAACAGGTTCTCTAACCCTTGCTTACTTTCAACCTCTTCTGGCACTCCTATGATGCAAATATTGTTGCATTTCATGTTGTACCACAGGTCCCTTAGACTGTCCTGTTTTTCAATTGTTTTTTTCTTTCTGGACCTTTGATTGAGTAATTTTTTTCTACTCTGTCTTCTAATTTGCTGATACGATCCTCAGCTTCTTCTAATCTTCTGTTTATTCCTTCCAATGTATTCTTTATTTCTGCTTTGTCATTCTTCATTTCCTTCATAGTTTCCAAATCTTTTTCATGCTGTTGAGCATCCTTACAATCAGTATCCTGAACTCTATGTAAGAAGGAAATAATCTTTTCTGTCAAAGGGATTAGAATAGGACAAACTGAATAAACACCCACCTTAGCATCCTCCATTTTGTAGCTCTGCACCCTTCTGCAGAAGTAAAATTTGCCTTGCCGAGTTACTTTCAATTTCTTGTGTCTTTATTTGTGTCATGGTCGAAACCTATCCTCAAATCTATATCTGATAGATTGCTTATCTCTTCAATTAGCTCTTTTTCTGGAGACTTCTCTTGTTCTTTCATTTGGGGTTTGTGTTTTTTTGTCTCCCCATTTTGGCTGCCTATTTGGGTTTGTTTCTATGTATTAAGTAGGCCTGCTAGGACTCTCAGTCTTTTGGGAAGGTCTTTGGTGCAGGCCAAAGTCAGAAGCTATTTGTAACTGGCCTTGAGTACCCTGTTTGGAGATATCAACAAGCCATGGCTTGAGGTCCCCTCTGTTGAAGCTGGGCACATTTGGACAGGACCAAGATTCACACCAAAGTCTGCTTTTCCAAGGCCCAGGTCCAAAAGCAGATCAGGAAAAGACTCAAAGCACTCTGAAGTCTGCCTCTGCCTGCAGGCTGATTAATCTGACTCTCTTAATGAGCCTCAGGCTGTAGAAACTCCATGGGGTAGGAGGAGAGGTTTTTCCAGCAGGGTGGGGCAATTGTTTCCCCCTCAGGCAAAAGCTGATTGGAAGGTAAATGTCTGCCTCTGCAGTATGGTGGAATGACTCCGTACTGGAATACAAAGAGGTGCCCTCTGAGCTCTATCTCCAGAGCCCACAACTCTACATTCTCCTCACACAGCTCCAGTCCACTCTGCTCTCCGTCTGCTGGAGCCCAAGGTGAGTGGCTGCACACAAAACTTTGTGCATTGGCTTGTTAAGAGGATGCCTGCATTTCTAGCCATTTCTCCCTGGCAGACAGAAACCCGGTTGCTTCTCACAGCCAGATGTTATGTGGACACCTTTCTCAGTTCTGGCGCTCTTGGCTAGGAAGCCCAGCCTGGGGTTTAAGCCCCAGAGTCCTGAGTTGAAACTCCTCCCCCAGCTGAGATATTTCTCCAGACCGTTAGCTGCTGCCTGTGGGAGTCCAGCCAGCCCTCTCACACCCTCGCACTTCCTACCAGTCTTTATGCAGTCTCCACTTTTCCTCCTTAGTTATGAGGGTGCTCTCCAGCTCATCTTCAGTTGCAGTTGATTATTCAGGGTTATTTTTCTATATTTTAGTTGTATTTCCTGTGAGAGTTTGGTCCTGGGAGAGTGTCAGTGTAGCTTCCACTCAGTCCACCACCATCTTTAACCCATATATAGTTATTTTAAATTCCTGTTCCAATATGATCATTCCAAAATCGCTGTCATATCTGAGCCTGGTTCTGTTGCTTTCTCTGTCTCTTTATACTATGTTTGTTTTTTTAAAAATATATATTTATCGATTTCAGAGATAGGAAAGGAGAGGGAGAGAGAGAGAGAGAGAGAGAGAGACATCAATGATGAGAGAGTCATTGATCGGCTGCCTAGCCCGCAACCCGGGCATGTGCCTTGACCAGGAATCAAACCCTGATCTCCTGGATCCTAGGTTGATGCTCAACTGCTGAGCCACGCCCAGCAGGGCTATACTATGTATTTTTGCCATTTAGTATGCCTTGCAATGTGTTGTTGAAAGCTGGACATGATGTACAAACATACCTCACTTTATTGCACTTTTTTTATTGGCTTTCATAGATGTTGTATTTATAAATTGAAGGTAAGATGCTCAACCAGCAAAAAAATTATGACCCACTTTATTGCTGTGGTCCAGAACTGAACCTGCAATATCTCCAAGATATGGCTGTACTGTATAAAGAGAACTTGGGTAAGTTGGCATTTAGTGTGAAATTTTATGTTTATCTGGCTAGAGATTAGACTGGATTTACTGTTTACTCCAGCTCTGTCAGAGGTAAAGTTTCCTCTGGTATCTTTGTTTTTATTTCCCATTTGCTTTGGATTTCCCTAGAGAGTTCTTTTTATTTTACTTTTTATTGAATTTATTGGGGTGACACTTGTTAATAAAATTATAGAGGTTTCAGGTGTACAATTCTATTATACGTCTTCTGTGTATTGTATTGCATATTCCCCACCCCAAGTTAAGTCTCCTTCCATCACCATTTATCCCCCCTTTAACCTCTTCTACTTCCCTCCACCCCCTTTCCCTCTAGTAATCACCATACTGTTATCCTAGAGAGTTCTATTTAAATAAGATCTGAGACATGCAATTCTTTCTGTTGTAATCCTTTCCTCTCTCTGAGATCAATAGAGATATATTTTTAAAAAATAAGGTATACAATGTGATATTTTGATATATGTATATATGATATTGTATATATTTTGAAATGATTGGCTTGATGTTTTTAAGGCTCACCCATGCAGTAACATGTATAAATACTTCATTCCTTTTTATGCCTGAATAATACTCCATTGTATGGATACACCACATATTGTTTATCCATTCATCCATTGAGGGATACTTGGATTGTTTCCACCTTTGGCTACTGTGAATAGTTCTGCTAACAACATATATGCTCAAGGTTTTATTTGAACACCTGTTTTTAATTATTTTGGGTATATACATAGGAGTGTAATTACTTGGTCATATAATTCTGTTTAACTTGTTGAGAAATTGTCAAATTGTTTTGCACAGCCCGGCCGGGCATGGCTCAGCAGTTGAGCGTTGACCTAGGATCCAGGAGATCAGGGTTCTATTCCTGGCCAGGGCACATGCCTGGGTTGCGGGCTTGATCCCCAGTAGGGGGCGTGCAGGAGGCAGCCGATCAATGACTCTCTCATCATTGATGTTTCTATCTCTCTCCCTCCCTCTCCTTTCCTCTCTCTGAAATCACTAAAGATATAAAAAAAATTGTTTTCACAGCAGTTGTACCATTTTACATTCTCACTGGCTATATATAGGGGTTTCAAATTCTCCACATCCTCACTAACACTTGTTATTATTTGTTGTTTTGACCATAGTCATCCTTGTGGGTATGAAATGGTTTTAATTTACATTTCCCTAATGATTAGTGATGGTGAACATCTTTTCATGTGCATGTTGTCCATTTGTATATACGCTTTGGAGAGTTCTGCCATTTTAAAAATTGGGCTTTTTATTATTGAGTTGTCAGAGTTCTTTATATATTCTGGAGATATAGATATATATATCAGGTATATGATTTGCAAATATTTTCTCCCACTCTGAGGGTTATGTTTTCATTCTCTTGATATCTTTTTAAAATAACAGCTTTATTGAGACATAATTCACATATATACAATTCACCCATTTAAGTTATACAATTTTAATGTATTCACAGAGTTCTACAATTATCAATACAATCAATTTCCAAACATTTTTATTTCTCCAAAAATAAACCCCAAACCCATTTGCAGTTACTACCCCACTGTATTTTTCTTCAAGGAAAATTTTACTTGATGTCTTTGTACTGGACCTTAAAAACTGCTAAGCTCTATAGTCAGCCTGACATGCAAGCTTATGGTAAGGTTTCCTACTCCATAATATAGAGAAGATAATTTCCTGGTATAAGTGAGTTCAGAATATTTGGAAATTATCCCATGAAATATTACTCTATAAAGACAACCACCAAATTATAATTATATTTCTTAAGGGGTCCGTACTCTGATTTATGCCATGGGAGGCCAAATATCTACACACTAAAACCACTTTCAGAAGGCTCATTGATTTCAGGTGGATTGTGTTATAAAAGGATTATACTTATTGACTTCTAATGCTTCTTCCAACTCTGAAATTAATTCAGGAAAGTAATGACGAGAAAGGGGAGAGATAATTCCTTATTTCTAGATTTTGTATTCACTATTACTAAAGTTGGAGTCACCAACATTGCACTTTAGAGAGAGATTAGAAAAGAGTCAGCTGGCAGCTTTAGACTGAACCTTAAAGTCCATTACGTTCATGGCATTTCTAAGACCAAAATCTGGTCCGTTGTTCTGTAAGTCCAGAAACCTAGCTTTGTCAGTTCATCCAAAGATGATGAGATTCAGAATTAACTTGAATTGTGTGGCCAATAGATCAGAAATACCACTGTATTAATTTTTCTTAAATGTGTATAACATTTTTATTTCTCCTTTTTAATAATGTTTCTAATTAAAAGTAACACATTTGGAGAAAAAAAGAGTTGAGAAACATAATATAAAATATGATTAAAAATACAAAAAAGCAATTCCATTTCTGGCTATATACCCAAAGAATTGAAAGCAGGCTCTTGAAGACATATTTACATATTCATGTTCATAGCAGCACTACTCACAATAACCAAAAGGTGGCAGTAACCCAAGTGTCTATCAATGAAAAAATGGATAAAAATGTAGTTTATACATAAAATGGAATATTAGGAATATTATTCAGCCTTAAAATGAAGTAAATGTATCAGAATACATTGGATGATCTTGGAGGACATACTAAATGAGATAAGCCAGGCACATAAAGACAAATACTATATGATTCTACTTATATGAGGTCCTTAGAGTAGTCAAATGCATAGAGACAGAAAGCAGAATGGTGGTTGCCAGGGACTGGGGAAGAGGGAATGGGGAGTTACTGTTCAATTGGTACAGAGTTTCAGTTGAGGAAGATGAAAAAGCATGAATGTACTTAATGCCACTGAAGAGTATACTTAAAAATTGTTAAAATGGTAAATGTTATGTTATGTATATTTTACTACAATAAAAAAGCATTCACCTGTATAATCATGATTAAGTTCTAGTGTCATACCACTGAAATAAATATCAGTGCTTTAGAAACAAACAAAACAAAAAACATGAGCCTAGCCCTGCTAAAAGGATATGTATGTCACATGGTCCATCATATATGTGGTTAAGAATAGTACCTACATCTTAAGCTATGTGAATTAAACTAAATCACCCATATAAAATATATAGTTTAATCTTTGTAGCACAAGCAGCATTCAGTAAACGTTAGCTATTAGTACTTGTATCTATCAATCAGGTTCCCCCCTCCGTGAACTGGAGACACACTGACATAGTCTTTTCCTGCTCCATTTTTACCTAGATGGTATGTAGACTGCTTTCTTTCTATTAATACATCATTTTTTCCCCAGATAAATTACATTATACTCCATTAAGTAATAACATCCTTCAGTTACATGATAATAACTCATTCTAAATCTAGTACAAATTGATATAAAACTATTAAGTTCTCAATAGTTGAATGGTCAAAGGATATATTTTATGAATGTATTGTCTACTCCTTTCTCTAATAGTCAGGGAATTCAAGCAAGTGTTCTCTACAATATTTCCTTTAAAGTAGACCCTTACAACCCTACCCTCTACTTCCTAGGCAGAACTATTAGCTATGACATTTGTATCCCTATAATACTGTATACATACTTCTAGTATAGCATATATTCTGTTTTATTACAGTGCTTAGCATGGGAGCATCTCAAAGACAAAGACTATATTTTAATTCATCTTTCTATCCCAGGTCTTTAGCATATTTTCAAGTACATATAAGAAATCGCTATTCACTGAATGACTAATGACTTCAGTTTTGAACATGTTGAGTTTGAGGTTCTGGCAAAGCCCATAATATCTTGCAAATAGTTATAACTTGGTTCCAAAACTCAGGGAGGTTGAGGGTAGAAATAGATGTTCAGTAGTCTTTAGCAATCTTATCCATTGATGTAGTCACAACATTCATGTAAGTGAGACTATGATTACATCAATGGATAAGATTGCTAAAGGAAGGCAAGATGGAATAATAATCATTGGTCCATGAACATGACCCCTTAGGGTTGTGTTCTCAAAGTGTAGACCCTCTGCATTACTTGGTATGCTTATTTAAAATACAGATTCTCAGATCTACTTAATCCATTTATTGGGTTATAATCTAGGAATCTGCATTGTAACAACTTCTATGTTACATTCATTTAAGCTTCCCATGTTATTATATACATTAATGTTTGAGAGAGCTTGCTTTAAAGATTGAATATAGACAGAATCTCCTAGAAGACTTCATTTGCCATATTTTTCTAATAAACATATATCATTTTAAATTGCAAACATATTTAAAAATATTAGATATTGATGTTTAGTAAGTTCAGGTTCATAGTTTCTATGTATACCATATACCTTCACATTTTCCTTTTCTATATGAGCCATCTTGTCCCCCACCCCCATGCCCCTGCATCTGCCTAATCCTGTCTGGTTTTCAGAATCAAGTAGCTAAAGGAGGAAAAGCTTAATAAAGGGACTTAAGGTTTCTTTTTATCTACTGCTTCTTTATTGGCAGCATTTCCATTCTCCAAACAATAACTAAAAAATCAAGAACTAATTTTCAATACAAACCATTTTATTTAACAGTTTCATGGCAGATCAATGCCATATTGCATATTCATGGATTGTGGGGGCTGTAGCCATGGGTTTCCCAAGACATGGATCCCCTAGTAAGCTGGAAACATTCAACCCATATGCACTTATTCTTTTGTCAAAGTGTGTAACCAAAGACCACACATAGATAGTATACCATAAGGGTTGCTTTTGGTGTAAAGACAAGAATGCGCATATGGAGGGATAGCTTCAAGTCTGTCACATAAGGGACTGGCAACTTTTTCCCAGTTCTCTCTGCCTGCCCAGTCAGCATTCCTAAAGAAAGTGGGACTATCATCAGGGCTGACCTTAAGCCAAAGTGTTTAAATGTTTTTCGTGTAAGATTTGTATGATGATAGTCAATCTAGTTCTCCCTTTCTCCCCTCACCTACATCTCTTTCCCCCACCACCATGAACAACCTTTCACAACTACTGTGTCTTATCTATACGTGAAATACTAATCTAGAGAGCTCCAAACTCTAACACAGAATGAAATGAAACCTAAGCAGGGCAATGTCCATTCTGTTACCTCATATCCAAGACACTTGCTGATTCCAGAACTAGGCCAAAGCTGTAATTCTTGAGTTTGCTCACCCCAGAAAGTCAGAAACCAGAGAGACAGAGAAGATGGGAAGAACTGGTCCACAGACTGAAGTGGTTGAGTAGAACAGTCAGTGACTGTTGGGGAAACCTTGACCTCACCTTCAACCCTTCTAATCTGTTCTGTTCCTATCCCTGAAAACCTCCAGACTCTGACCTTTTGTGTTCTTTTCCAGGTGACGGGGGTGGCGTCTGAAAGAAGACAGAAAGCTGCAGTAACACGCAAAGCAGATTTGCCTTCAGGGAATGTGCTCCTTGACTCTGGATTCCAGACTTCAATCTTTTCATTCAACTTCCATTTTATGCCAGGTATTTTGTGAGGCTTTGAGATAAGAAGTTGGATAAGATTTAGTCCCTTTCCAGGAAGAGTTCATGATTTGGTAGGAAACACAAAAATATGAACAATAGTCACCGTATTATAAAGTGCAAGTTCTACAATAGAGGTGCTATGGGAGCGCTGTTAGAAAAAAATCCTCATGACAGTCTGATTTCAAGATCAGACTCAGCCTGACTCTGGCAGGTTTCAGACCTACTTCAAAGAAAGAAATGCTCAGGTGAATCTGAAAGTTCATAGCAAAGGCTCAGGAGCTGGGATGGGGTGGAGGGCTTGCCCACCACCTCCAGAAGCAGTGAGGAGGCAGGGAGCTCAAAGGGCTCAGTAGGTGCCTTTGCTTGGTCACTCCTTGCTTCTGTGGGCTGTAGGAGGTTTCCTTCAGTTCCTTCTTCTCACACCAAGCTGTTGGAAAATAAACTGAGGCATATTAAAATTTGGGGTAGTTTGAGCAAAAACCCACTCCAATCAGGCAGTGCCAAACTGAAGGTGGTGAGGGAGCTTAGCCAACAGGAGCTGGGGGACAGGCTTTTGTGGAGAAAAAGTGGAACCAAAGTAAGGAAATTACTTACTTGTTATAGCTTAACGCCTAGTTGACTGTTTGTGATTATTCCTAGCATTTTGACTTCATAACCTTGAGGTATTTATAGACCATCACCACATTAAAGCCACATCAGTCTACTGGCCTCCTTGTTTACTTAATTTAACAAATATGTATAAATATTTATAAATGTATTTATAGTAAGCTAAACATGAGTGCATACTGATGTCTCCAATTCTTATCCATTACCCCATGGATTATTTTAGCCTCTTCCTCTTGTTTATCTGTACCCTCTCACTCCAACAGTGAGAAACCTGGCTCTACAATTCACCATCCAGTTCCTTCATTGTTCAATTCCAGTATATATGTATATTGGTTTCAGAATTGCTAGCCTTTACCCATGAGGGAAACAACTGTATCAACTAGAATGGAGCACTTATGTACATCCCCTTTTGCCTATAATCGTGCAGATATCACTCATTTACAAAGTTACTTAGTTTTGCACCTTTGACCCCACCTACTTCAGTAAGCTTGTTTCATATATTTGTGGTAGAATTAGATTCTTTTTTCACATTCTGCATTCTGACCTTGTATCCCTCCATCTCCTGAATGAATTTTTTGTTTTAATTGCATACATTAAGTTTCACTCTTTGTGCTGTAAAGATTTTGAAAAATGTGTAAAGTCTCCACCATTACAGTCTCGTAGAGAATAGTGTCACTGCCCTAAAATAGTCCCCTGTGCTTTACCTATTCAACCCTCCTCCTCCTCCCAAATTCCTGGAAATCACTGATATTTTTACTGTCACTATGGTTTTGCCTCTTCTAGCATATCACATAAATGGAGTTATACAGTATGTAGTCTTTTCAGACTGACTTTTTTCACATAGAAATATATATTTAAGATTCATCCATGTTTTGCATGGTTTGATAGTTTATTCCTTTTTATCACTGAATAGTATCCCATTGTTTGGATATACCACAGTTTGTTTATCCACTCACTGAAGGAAATCTTGGTTTTCAGTAATTATGGACAAAGCTACTATAAACACTAATGTGCAAAAATATTCCTCACAGAAGTCTGAAATCAAGGTGTTGGCAGGGCTATGCTCTCCCCAATGCCCCTAGAGGAGGATCCTTCTTTGCCTCTTCCAACGTCATGCATTCCTTGGCTTGTAGCAGCATAGCTCCAGTCTCTGCTTCTGTCTTCATGTGGCCCTCTTCCCTCTGTGTCTGTATTCATGTGTCATGGTATTCTCCTTTCTCTTTGTGTCTGTGTCCATATTTTACTCTTGTTATAACGATACCATCATATTATATGAGTGTCCACCCTAATGGCCTCATCTTAACTTGATTACATCTGCAAAGACACTTGGTATAGACTGAATGTGTTACCCCTAAATTCATATTTTGCAACCTAATTTCTAAAGTGATGATTTTTGGTAGTGGGGCCTTTGGGAGGTAATTAAGTCATGAGGGTGGACTCCTCATGAATTAGGGGAAGATTAGTGCCCTTTTAAAAGAGACCTCAGAGAGCTCCCTTGCCCTTTCTGCTGTGTGAGGACACAAGAGAAGTCAGCAGTCTGCAACCTGGAAGGCTCTAACCAGAACTCCACCATGCTGGACCCTGATCATGAACTTCTAGCCTCCAGAAATGTGAGAAATAAATTTCTGTTGTTTATAAGCCATCTACTTTACAGTACTTTGTAATAGGAGCTGGAACTAAGACAACCCTATTTCCAAATAAGATCAATTCACAGATACCAGAGGTTAGGACTTCAATATATCTTTTTTTTAAAAAAAATATGTTTTTATTGATTTCAGAGAGACAGAGAGGGAGAGAGAGAGAAACATCAATGACAAGGGAGTCATTGATCAGCTGCCTCCTGCACGCCCCCTACTGGGGATGGAGCCCACAACCCGGGCATGTGCCCTGACTGGGAATCGAACCCTGACCTCCTGGTTCACGGATTGACACTCAACCACTGAGCCACGCTGGCTGAGCAGGACTTTAATATATCTTTTGAGGGGAGACAATTCACCCTATAATGATAATTATTGACATGTTAAGGCTTGAGTCTGACATTTTATTATATGTTTTCTCTTTGTTTCCTCTGTTTCTTGTTCTCTTTCTCTTTTCTTGCCTTCCTGTGGTTATTTAAACAAGTTTTTAGGATTATATCTTGATTTATAATATTTTCAAACACTGCTTTACATAGTTTTTTAGTTGTTGTGGTAGGTATTACAATATAAATATGTAACTTATTACAGTCTACTGGTATCAGTGTTCCCCCACTTCAAGTGAAGTGTAGGGACCTTACTTCTATTTAGACCCCTTTATCTTCCCCACTTAAAAAATATGTAATTGTATTAAGTATTCACTCTACATATATCAAGCCACTACATCAGATGGTGTTATAATTTTTGCTTTAACCATCAAATATGATTTAAAAAACTCACGAAGAGGATAGTTATGGCCCCATTTTTGCCCATTTTGATGTTCTTTCCTTTCTGGAGTTCTAGGCCTTCTTCCTTTTTTTCTTTTTAACTTTTTATTCATTGATTTTAGAGAGCGGAAGGGAGAGAGAGAGAGAGAGAGAGAGAGAGAGACATCAATTTGTTGTTCCACTCATTCATTCATTCATTTGTTGATTCTTGTATGTGCACTGACTGGAGATCAAACCCACGACCTTGGCATATAGGAAAGACACTCTAACCAACTAAGCTACTTGGGTAGGGTTAGGCCTTCTTCTTTTATCATTTCCTTTCGAGTCAGAAAGCTTCTTCTAACCATTCTTTAAGGGCAGGTTGGCTAGCAACTAATTCTCTCAATTTTCCTTTATTTGAAGGCTAGTTTGCCAAATAAGATATGCTGTTGACAGTTCTTTTTGAAATTAACATTTATTTTTCGAACAGTTTTAGATTTATAGCAAAATTGAGAAGAACAGAGAATTCCCATATACTCCACACTCAATTTCCCCTATTGTTTGTTACAATTAACGAAGCAATACTGATACCTTATTATTAAAGTCCATACTTTATTCAGATTTCCTTATTTTTTACCTAATGTCTTTTATCAGTTTCAGGATCATCAAGGACACCACAGTACACTTAGTCATCATGTCTCCTTAGGCTGTTTCTCAGAATTTATTGCTTTTGATGACCTTGATAGTTTTGAGGAGTACTGGTCAGCTATTTTGTAGAATATCCCTCCACTGGAATTTGTCTGATATGATTAAACAGGGGTTATGCATTTCAGGGAATAAGACCATAGAGATAAAGTAGCATTTTCATTACATCATATCAAGGGTACATGCTATCAAAAAGGCATCAACTTTTGATGTTCACCTTGAACACGTGGCTGAGCTATGTTTGTCAGGTTTTTCCACTGTAGAGTTATTCTTTTACCCCATACCCTTTCCATATTGTACTCTTGGAAATCACTGTGTGCACCCAAACTTAAGGAGTAAAGAGTTATGCTCCACCTCCTTGAGAGCAAAGTAACTATATAAAATTGTTTAGAATTTTGTATGGGAGATTTGTCTCTTTTCCCATATATACGTATGTATGTGTATATATATGTATGTATCCAGCCAATCAATTATTTATTTATATCACTGTAAACTCATGGATATTTATTTTATACTTCAGTTTATAAACCAATACCACTTTATTATGTTGCTCAAATTTTTCTAGCTTTGACCATTGGGAGCTCTTTTAGTTGGTTCTTGTGTACCCTTGACATACTCTTTTCTTTTCTTTTCTTTTCTTTTCTTTTCTTTTCTTTTCTTTTCTTTTCTTTTCTTTTCTTTTCTTTTCTTTTCTTTCTTTTCTTTTCTTTTTTCTTTTCTTTTCCTTTTTCTTCTCTTCTCTTCTCTTCTCTTCTCTTCTCTTCTCTTCTCTTCTCTTCTCTTCTCTTCTCTTCTCTCTCTTCTCTTCTCTTCTCCTTTTTCTTTTCTTTTTCTTTTTCTTTTTCTTTTTCTTTTTCTTTTTCTTTTTTTGAGCCGTTCCTTACTTTTTGGCACTACAGTATGATCCAAGCTCATCTTGTATATCCTTGCCCTAATCTAACAGTTGTTTTCTTTGTGTACTTGAAAAATGTTGTGCCTCTTCTTTCTGGCCTGCATGGTTTCAGATAAGAAAGCTGCTATCATTCAAATTGATGTTCTTCTATAAGTAATGCATCTTTTCTCTTTGGCTGACTTTAAGATTTTTTTTCTTTCATTTTCAATTTCATTATGATGTGTCTTGGCATGGATTTCTTTGTAACCCATCCTTTCTAATAACTGTATACTATTCCATATGTGCAGATATCACAAAAAATATATATGCTATATCCCTGGCCAGGTGGCTCAGTTGGTTGAAGCATCGTCTCATACACCAAAAGGTTGCAGGTTTGATTTCTGGTCAAGGCAC